TTATTTGTTTTCGAAAGACAAATTATTCTTCAATGCTCAGTTTAATACTTTTACGGTGATAAAAGCTCATTGTCTAAAACTTACGAAACACAGACGTATTCAGAAAGAGTATTGACAGAGGTCGCCGCCAGAACAAAAGCAGTTTCATTGCCTGTCTGACATCTTATCACCGCTGAACAATAAATAGGTGTGAATATTGTTAGGCATGTTGTCGAAACAAAGAATAGGATTAGGAACAATGCCATTTTGGAACAGCTGGTTGAAACAATGAAGTCAGTCATGGTCTTGTTGAATTGGGGGTGCGATTAGTAATAGGTACTTTTCAAGTTTTCAATTTTTGTTAAGAACTCTTTAACCCCGAAGCCGGAATCGGGGGTGCGGTTACTATTACGTATGCGGTTTATATTAGGACTTTAACGGTATGGTTTGATCTATTGTTTGGCTTTTTGAGTGTAATTTTGCTTTTTTTTTATTTACTCCACTTTCACATGCTGTTTTGTCATTTTATTTTATTGTGAAACTCCAATCGAGTGTTTTGTTAAAATCTCACAATTTCAAATGTCCACTCAAATGCAATATTGGTGGTACATTCTTGAAGTGAAATGTTCTTTGACTGGTCGAGAGATTTACTCGTGCAAACGAGATCTTGTATTGGAGTTAATCAGATACATGTGAGCGGGTAACCAGTGACATTTAAAAAAGCTTATGCAATGCAATGAAATGCTGGAAAATGTTTACTAGGCTAGAACTTATTAAATAATGATATTTGCTTCAACAATGCTAGTAATATTTAAACAAATAGCAGCACTGTTGCCTGTGGGAAATTATTATACATCTAACAATGTGGTGCACTGACCATTCTGTAAAATACTGCATTTGTTCCAAAATGTTATTGTAGCAACACACAATTGTCCCTTATATGGGGTAAACTACATCACAAACCTTGAACTATTACAGACTATTGATGTCAAATTCAAATACTTTCTTTTGTTTACCCTGGATGCAAAAGTGATATAGCTTGTGGTGGAAATAAAACATGTCACTCAACAAAAATGTTCAAATGGTGCAATACATTTTTCAATGGCAAAGAAATATACGATAATCCAATTTCCACAACACTGATAATAATATGAGGTTACCACAAGAATAAAAAGTTGGCGACCGGCACTATTCTATTTGTTTATGATACACACAGGATGTCGGCCACTGGACCATCATTCTATTGTCCTTGTGGGTTTTGACACACAATAACACAATGCAAAAAATTAACACACAACTGAACTTGAAAGAAGACTGTTCAAAATCAACGTACACGTGTGACATCGGATGTGTTTTAACCTCCGATTAACATTCTGTTTTTCTACCTCCATGGTTTTAACAAACGAACCAGATCGAAATAAGTCGTACATCAATATAATGGAAGGGAAGACAAAGATAAATAAACAGAAGGAAGGATTACCATTGCATGTTTAGTTGTGTGTAGGATTTGTCAAGTTTAACATTAACTTGCTCACTTCACCGGCAGCAATGTGTGAAGCTGTCGTTCGTTTAATCTGCACTTGCACTCGAGTGTAGTAACCTTCATTGATATG